CACAGGTACACCTGAGTCGGCGTCCCCAAACACCTCCACCTCCAGCCCAGGCTGGACGCTCTTCTGCCCTTGGGGGTGTGGGCTCCCACAGGCCAGGGCCTGGGCCCTCCAGCCTCTGGGGCTGGGAGAAAACAGCCTTAGCCAGGGCTCAGCTACCTGTCTCTCCACTGACCTTCTAGCCTCCCCTCTTTTGTCCCCTACCCCTTGCTGGGGGCATGTCTATCCATTCCAACACCCTGCCCTCAGAGGCCTTCCCTGGCTGGCTCCTCCAAGGCTGCAGGGTCTCCTTGCTCCCACAGACCCTCTGCCCCCTCCTCTCATGGACAGTAAGGTGGCCCACACCCCCACAGCCTGTCTGGAGCAGTCTCGGAGAAAACCAGGGTCCCCTGGGGATGAGGATGGGGCTCCTTTGGGGCCCAGATGACTGGGTATACTTTGGAAGGCACCTCACTCAGGAGCGAGCCCTGGAGCGAGCCGCCTGCTTCAAAGCTTGTCGGCATGGTGGATTAGTTCTATGAGTGAGCCAACCTCCGTGCATCTCAGTTTCCTCATCTGTCAAATGGCCATGACTGTAATAGTACCAGCCTGACCTTTGCTTGCTTGCACACTTCGTTGGCGTGCTTGCCCTCTATGGTCCCGAAGGCTAGGAATCTTGTCTATTCATGGGTCCTTGCAGAGCCTGGGGCAGGAGGGTCAGGGCAGAGAGGAGGAGCTTTAGTGAGGTTAGGCCTGCAAGCTACCACTGTGTTGGCCCCCAAATCAGCAGCGGCTCTGGCCCTTGCTTTCTCCCTGCACAGAACTGGCTTAGGCAGCCAGCTTCCTCCAGACTCTTGGGTTCTCTTAGAGGCCTTTCCAACTCTGCTAGGGAGGCTCCAGGCACTCCAGGGACTGGCTGTGGGGGGCAGCCTGGCTCCTTCCCTCCCCTGCCCCATCTGCTTGTAGGTCTTGATCTGAGCTTATTATAATTGGGATACAACAGACAGAGAGGAGTCAAGGCTTTAAGCTGAGGGACAGGAAGGCTGGAGGGCCATTAACTGAGATGAAGCAGATTGGATATGGGAGCTGAAGTTCTGGGGCTGGAAGGAGTTCTGGTGGCACAGTGGTTAAAGCACTCAGCCACTAACCAAAAGTTTGCCAGTTCGAACCCAGCAGTGGCTCCGTGTGAAAAGGATGAGGCAGTCTGCTTCCTTGAAGACTGACAGCCTTGGAGACCCTGTGGGGCAGTCCCACTCCCTCCTCTAGGGGCACTGAGAGTGGGAAAGGACTCCTCGCCAGTGGGTGTGGTTTGGGCTTTGCTTCCCTGAAGACTGACAGCCTTAGAGGCCCTTTGGGGCAGCTCCGCTCCCTCCTCTAGGGGCGCTGTGAGTGGAGTCCATGTGGGGTGGGTGAGGAGGCGCCAGCTGAAGGAGCCAACCGAAGAAGAGCAAAGAATGTGTCTTAAGGAGGAGCAGTGACTGGACAAGTAAGACGAAGACAAAGAATGAAGGGGCCTTTGTGCCTAGCCATGTAGAGGTCAATGGTGACCTTCCAAGAGCAACTTCTGGGGAGTGACAGGAGACAAAGGCAGATCCCAGTGGGTTCGGTCAAGAGCAGGGAGAGAGAAATTGGAAACAGCAAGTACTGACAACTCTTTTGAGCTTCGCAACAGAGAGCAGAGAAATGGCATGGTTGTTGTGGGGATACGAGGGGACAAAAGAAAAGATTGGGGTTTCATGCAGGCACTACCACGGCATGTTAACGTGCTTGTACCCCAATGAGGCAAGAGAGAAGAAACAGGGATGCTGCAAGAGAGAGATGGCCAACGCAGCAGGAGGCAGAGGTGCTGGTGGGGCTTATGCGGTTCTCTCCTGAAAGCTTGCAATGTTCTCAGGAAGGTGGCCTCCCGCGGTGAGTGAGGGTGGGGGAGGGCAGTGGAGCTCTGAAAAGGAGGGTCTGAGACGGTCTTCTGTCTTCAGGGTGAGGGCCAGGCAAATGCACTATGGAAATGGAATGTGATTGCTGGCCTGCATCAAGGGCCCACTTGAGGTTGAATGGCCATTAATTTAAATTGAAATTAGTCATGTCTGCGCTGGTTGCCGCAGTCACGTGCGCTCATCCAGTTGCAGGCTGAGAAGAGGCAGAGTTGGATGTTTTCGTTGGGGTTGAGATTTGGCAGATGTAGGTAATGAAGGTTCCCTGGGCTGCTGGGACAAACACATACCACGAATGGGTGGCTTCGAAGAAGATCCAGCGACTGCCTTCACTTCTGCAAGGTGCAAGTGCCCATCACAGTCTCAGCCGTGAGGATTCTTTCTGTGAGCTTCTCCCCTAGTTTCTGATGTTCTTCTCACATCAACGAACCTCACGTGGCGTCTGCCTCCAAGCCTCCTGGCCCCGTGTGTGTGTCTAACGTGGTCTTTTGATAAGACCAACGCAGAAGTGATTAGGTTAGAACTCAGCCTTCTCAGGTCCATCCTCATTAATGTAACAAACGAAAGCTTCTGTTGCTAACCAGGTCACGTTCACAGCCACAGGGCTTAGGACTGCCGCATGTCTTTGGGGGGGACACAATTCAACAAGGGAGGGCCACAGAAGTGGAGTGTGTATTCAGGGGAGAAATTACGGTGACTGACCATGGGTTTTAGGCAGAGGAAGGAAGGCAGGTAGGAAGGACATAGTCAGGGTTTGGTGAAGGACAGAGACAAAATAGTAGTATCAACGGTTTGAGGGTCCCAGTGGGGGTTAAGGAAGAGTTGGAGTTGTAGTGCTAAAGGAATGAGCGGTGCTTGGGCAGTAGGATGCAGGCAATGGAAATTATGGAGTGTGAAGGATTAAATAGTGTACCCCTCCAAAAAATAAGTGGTACTGAAGTCCTGGCCCCTGTCCTGGTTTGGAAATAAGAGTTTCCTTTTGTTATGTTAATGAGGTCATACCAGACTAGGGTGAGTTGGAAACCTAATCTCTTCTGAATGTGTCTTATAAAGAGAGCAGGACACATACACACACACACACACACACACACACACACTCTCCCGCACACACACACACACATGTGCTTGTGGAAGACAGATACCAAGGAACATCAGGAAATGCCAGGGAAAGACAGTGTTGATGGGATGTCTGGCCAGGGTCACATGGGCCAGCCATGCTCAGTCCAGGTGCATATCATTTTCCTCACTGCCACCACCTGGACACTGTGGGCACTATAGCAGCACTGGGACCCCCAAAAGCCCATTCCTTTTGATGCAATGCACATTTAAACAGGGGCAGGCACCATGCCAGGCCCTATGCCAGGCCTCGTGATACTGGTACCATACAAGTGCCATCACTCCTGGCTGAGGGGTACAAAATCAAGTCCAAATACATTCCTTGGCCCTAACTCTTGTGATGATGAGGGTGGGGTGGGCAGGAAAGAGGGTCATGTGGCTTTTCAGAAGTGGTTGAGCCTCCAGGACCCTCTTCCTTCCTCGGAGTATTCTCCCGGCATTAGAGGTATCACCAGCCTCTGGTCTTGGGGAATGGACATTTGAGGGGAGAGGATGCTGATGAAAGACATGAGAGACCAAGCAACTGTGCTTGTCAGAGGGGTGGAGCTCCTTCTCTCACTCGCCC